GATGGCCATCGCGAACCAGATGGTGCCCAAGGAGGCGCCGCTGTACTTGAGCGTGGCCGTGATGCTGCAGTCTATGCTCTACCCGTGCCCCTGCGACGCGCTGTCTCTCAGTCACGAAGTGCCCGCGCCGCCGCTGCCGCAGGAGAAGGGAGGCCAGGGGCGCTGGGGCGCGCTGCTACACCGCCAGGGGACAGGGCAGCCCAGCAAGAAGGGCGTGCTCGGCGAAGCCATGGCGCTGGGCAACAGGGAGTGCTACGACCCGAATGCCGCGCGGGCCCACCTCCTGGCTTCGTCGGGGAGAAGTTGTTCCCGAGGAGCCACCTCAAGTACGCCCGCGCCTTCAGCAAGGCCGCGGGGGCCCTCCAGCGTGCGCCCCATCGGGACGCCGCGCCTGTGCCAGCTGAGGCGCGACAGGGTGAGCCACGAAGTGGCAGGCGGCAAGCGGCCGATCGCCGACGCGTAGGAGCGCGGGCGGTGGCTCAGCGCGGCCAGCAGGAGACGCTACGAGAGAAGAGGCCGCACCAGCAAGGTGCTGCGCCGTCTCTCAGAGCCACGGCTTCAGCACGCGCGCCGGGGCCGCAAGAGCCCTGGCGCGATCCTTTGCGGCACCTCCCAGCCTGCGCGCATCGGGCTCGGCGCGGAGTCGCGCTCGAGCTCTTCTCAGGCAGTGGCGCCCTCTCGCAAGCGTGGCGCCGCCACGATTGTTTAAAAGGGGGTCCCCATTTTTGGATGGGACATCATTCACGGTGAGCGATTCGATTTGCTGAAGCCACGCAATCAGAAGATCATTCGAGGATGGTTGATGTAAGGTCTGATCAAGGCCGCGTGGATAGGCCTTCTGTGCGCAAGCTGGCCATCCGCTCGGCGATCGGACGGCGCGGCCCCCCCGGCGCTTCGCAGCTCAGAGCATGTGATGCGGCCCCCGCATCGCGCCCCGACTTACCAGCTCAAAGTACAGCAAGGCAATCGAATGATGCGGTTTTGTCACCCTTTGTTTTTACTTTGCAGAAAGCTTCGCGTGCCTGTCGTGTGCGAGAACCCCCACTCCTCTCGCCTCTGGGTGGCTCCTCCCTTCCTCAACATACGTCAATGGCCTAAAGCCAGAGAGTTTGTCACCGACTTCTGCCAGTGGTCCAAGCCCTAGCGAAAGCTAACCAGGTTTCTCACACATTTTGTGGGTTTAAGCAATATCGAAAGACGATGCCGCTCTTGTAAGGGAATCTGTACTCGTACAAACAAGCCACATTTAATTCTGTGCGGGAGACAGGACAACAAGTTTCTCACTCGCACTGCCGAGCCGTATCCGAGTCGTCTCTGCAAAGCACTGTGCGCCTGTTTCGCCAATGCCATAGCAAACAAACGTGCCCTCGCTTTGTATAATTTCGGCCTATAGGCCAGTTGTACTCCTGGATCGGGAGCGTTTCCAGTATGTGCCTTTGGTGTGTTGTAGCGGGCGAATCTCAGCCTCTCGCTTCCGAGGCTGATGCGCCTGCTGCGATCGCTCCAGTCTGAGGCCGAGCTCATCCGCCCTCACACAGAAAAAGGCTTCGCTTGGCGAGGGTGGCGGAGTTGGCTGATGTGAGTGCTCGCGCGTGAATCATCTGTGGGGCTAGATCGCCGCCAAGCGTTTGCGCTTCTGTAGTCTTCTCTCCCTCCCTCCCTGCTCGCTTGCGCTGCCCCGTTCGACTTCTCTCAGCGATCTGGGGTGTGTTGTGGCGGGCGAATATCAGCCTCTCGCTTCCGAGGCTGATGCGCCTGCTGCGATCGCTCCAGTCTGAGGCCGAGCTCATCCGCCCTCACACAGAAAAAGGTTTCGCGTGGCGAGGGTGGCGGAGTTGGCTGATATATATATATATATATATATATATACATACATACATACATATATATATATATATATATATATGTGTGTGTGTGTGAACATATCGAGAATCAATGATTTGGGCCCCTTCGGGTTTTTATCGCGGGCATCACGAGGCATCACTGGCCATCTTGGGTGCATCTTGAGCCGTCTGGGAAATATCTGGCGGCCATCTTGGGCTCTCTGGTCCCCGTGGTGGGAATGTCTTGGGCTCTCTGGCCCCCGTGGTGGGAATGTTACAGATTTTTACGGGTCCCGGCCCCTCTCAGAAAGCGGAGCACAGGCGCCCCCCCCACCTCCTCTTCCTCTCCTCGGCAGAGCCCTACCCACGCCCCCCCCCCCCCCCAGCAGAGCAGAAGATCAGGCCGCAGGCTGTAGCTCGGGCTTTCTTGAAACTAACACGCCGGATGGGCGGATTTCGGCGGATTTTGCCCTCGCCGTGGAAGGCCCTAGGCAGAGGCGACAATAGGGGCGAACAGCCCAAGTCTGAACAGTTCATGTATCAAGGTGAGCCGATTATCTATGTTTTCGAAAAAAGCTCCCGGGCGAATGCGTGCAGTGCCCGCCCCTGTTCGCCCTTATCGTCGCCGACGACTTCGAGGAGGACGTGGAGAAGGAGGCTCAGCGTTCCACTGTGTCTGGGGCGACCACCGTCGGCAGACAGCAGGAGGGAGGGCCGAGCTCGGCCTTGCAGCGAAGAGTCTTCTCGGGGCTCTGGCTCTGGCTCTGGCTTCTCGCCCGACCGATGACGCGCTGCTGCTGAGGAGGAGGAGGAGGAGGAGGAGGAGGAGGAGGACGAGGACGAGGAGGAGGAAGAGGAGGAGGAGGAGGGGGAGGAGGAGGGGGAGGAGGGGGAGGAGGGGGAGGAGGGGGAGGAGGGGGAGGAGGGGGAGGAGGGGGAGGAGGAGGAGGAGGGGGAGGAGGAGGAGGAGGAGGAGGAGGAGGAGGAGGAGGAGGTGGAGGAGGAGGAAGAGGAAGAGGAGGAAGCGGAAGTGCGAGGGGGGATCGACGGAGCGCGCTGGAGGTTTGTCGTTGGCGTCTGCCTGGGGCCCTGGAGCCGTCGAGCGTCGGTCCGGGAGGAAGGCGGGACGGGGGCCCCGGGAGTCGGGTGCTGCCAGAAGTACTCCTGGCACAAGGTGCCCCCAGGATTCTCGGGGTGGCCCAGACGGCCTCCAGGGCACCCCATCACGAAGCCCAGAGGGCCCCAAGAGGGGACCAGGAGTGAAGCGGAAAGCTGGGGGCACCTCGGGCCACGGGGCACTTCCAGCAACACCCGAGAGAGGGGTCCAGGCTCTGCTGCGACGGCTTGGTCGGCCAGCCAGGGGCGGCCCGCGGGCCCGGCCTGCTCGGGCGCAGGTGGGCAGGGGCAGCGTCAGGGGGCTTGGCATCGCTCGGACGTGCGCGTTTTTTTTCTCGGCGAGGACCATCGAGGAGCATCCTTGATCATTTAGCGAAAAAACATGCACGAAACCGAACAAAGTACAGGGAATGGGCGTCCGAGCGATGGCGAGGTGGGCAGGGGCAGCGTCAGGGGGGCAGGGTCGACCTGAGCGGTGTTTTGGCGACTTCGTGGGCCGCTCAGGGTCTATAGGCCTCCTGGATGGGGTCGGAGTAGATGGGGTCGGAGGACTGCGCCGCATCGCCGATGCACGGGCGATGCATCGGCGATGCGGCTCGATGTGGGGCCCACTTTTGTCCATGCCGACGTCGCCGATGCATCGCCGATGGATCGGCGATGCGGCGAGATCCCCCGACCCCATCTACTCGGACCCCGTCCAGGAGGCCTCTAGCTAGGGGTAGACCTGACCAGTGTTTTGGCGACTTCGTGGGCCGCTCTCGTTTCGAGCTCGTTTTGCAGCAGAGGCGGGCCGAAGGCAGAGCGAGGGAATGAGGCGAAGACAGAGCGAAAACGGAAAGCACTGTTCGGGGCGATCCCTGTCGGGGGGGACAGGCTCAGGGGGGCCTCATCGACCCCCGATCGCTATGGCAGCGCCCCCCGCCCAAGCCGCGCAGACTCCCCACCGTGCAGCTTCGCTATGGCTCAGAAGCCTGGCGAAGGCTGGCAAACCCGTGGCTGATCACACGGAGCTCCGGGAAATTGTCTTCAGTTCCGGGAAGCAGCCCGTTCACTATGAAGTGCGCTGAGTTCTATGCCCGGAATGTGTGTTGTTCCTTCCGGTAAGACCGTTTCAGCAGCCACGGATTTGCCGGCCTTCGCCCAGCTTCCGAATGGCCCACCCCGCCCAAGCCGTGCAGGTTCGTCATCGGGGGCCTGTCGCCGAGCCATCGGCAAGGTATCCCCGAATTTCCAGGCCGACGCTCTCCCCCCCACGACGAGCACGTGGCCCTGCAGACGGGGGGAGCGGGGCAGGGGGGGGGCCTCCTCCTCCTCCTCCTCCTCCTCCCCCTCCCCCTCCCCCTCCTCCTTCTCCTCCTCCTCCTCCCCCTCCTCCTCCTCCTCCTCCACCTCCTCCTCCTCCTCCTCCTTCTCCTCCCCCCCTCCTCGGGTCAGGGAGGGGACCCTTACCACATCGAGGGAGCGCAGGTCGGACCGAGGTACAAGGTCGAGGTCGGTTCGGGGAGGGTGCCCTCCTGTGCTTCGTGCTTGTCGCGTGCTCTCGCGCATCCTGGGAAAAAGGGTACCCTCGGTGATCTTATGATTTGGTGTGTGTGTGTGTGTGTGTTTGGCCAGCGGAGGGTCTCCTGTTCCTGACGGACGTTGTTCCCGCCTGGGTTCGACTGTACCACACCGAGGAAGCGCCAGCACGGAGTGTCCAGGCGCACCAGTCAGCGATGGATCCAGCTTCCATACGACGTCGATTGATTACATGTTTCCCGTGGTATTCTCCCCGAGCCGTGGATCGTGCGCCCAAGCGCCAGATCCACGGGGCCGTAGTCAATGCTGGAGCCAGAGCCTGTCCCCTCACCTCCCCGTGCCGCGTTCCCGCGTGGCTTCTCTGAGATGGGGCGTATTTTCGCTGGATCTTGCCTAGAGATGCGGCCACGTTGCTGAATATCGCGGCGCTCCATGCTTGTATTTCTCTTTTTGCTTCGCTCTCTCTCTCTCTCTCTCTCTGTTTTGTTATTGTTGTTGGTTTCTTGTTTCTCTCTCTCTCTCTCTCTCCTTGCGGATCGCCAGACCGACAATTCTCCTCTGACTGTAGCCGCCATGGCCTTGGACAACACCAGCATGACGGACTGCCGTGAGCTGCGGCAAAATGCATCTCCGAGAGAAGATAGCAGGATGGGTCGCACGACACGGTAAAGTGTTGCAGAGGACGAAGGGTATGGTGGCAGGTGGGATGCAAGAGCAGTTTGTTTGAGCATCCCTCTCGGAAGGGTGTGCGTGAGATGCCATTGTTGCATTGTCTTATTAATTCTCGGTGCCTTCACATTACCTGGCGGGAAGCAAACTTGCACTTCACGGACCGCCCGCATGTCACAGCTCTCTTTCTGGAATTACAGTGGAGACCCATGCCAAGAAACGCTTTTCTTGCCTCCAGGGTGCCGTAGGTTTCTTGGGTGTCGATGGTCTTTCTGTGGAAAGCGTGACGTTACCATACAAAAAGTCAACGGACGCCCTGGGGTCTGAGAATTGGGTCTTCTATGGAAGGTTCCTTGTGGACTGGCCTCCGCTGTATTCGGGCCGTGGGAAGAACTGTTCGAGTTGTCTGACAAGCGTGGAAGGGATGCCTGGTCGGACGAACTACAGGATCCGGCTTGAATAAGGAACACTTCCTTTTCCAAAGGGGCTCGGTCGTTCCTATGGCTTGCATGCGTTCTGCTGCCTTTCGGCGGCGAGCCTCCCTGGGGTTCCTTGGAAAAAAGGGGCTTCGTTCCTTGTTTATCGTTCCTCAGGTCAGGCCGAATCCTGTAGGGGGACTGAGAAGGGGGGGGGGGCGACCTCTGCTGCATGCCAGCTGGCTTCGGCCCCGCCGCCGGGCGCCTTCCTCGATGCCTGGGCGGCTCTGGCGCTGGGGAAGGCGCCGGGACCGCCAAGTGCGCGAGCGGGAACGCTCCCCTCCGGGAGAGCCACGGTCTGATGCAGTCTCATGCTGGGCCCGTTTTCCACCACCAGCACCATAAGTTGGAGGGGGGAAGGAGGAGGAGGGCGAGGAGGAGGAGGAGGAGGTCGAAGAGGAGGAGGAGGAGGAGGACCCCCTCCTCCAACTTATGGCGGTGGTGGAAAACACGCCCATCCAGTCTCACCGTCTTCTTCGTCCTCTGCGAGCGTTGGATCCTCCGACGGGAGCGGCGTTGAGGTGCGCCATTGGCCGAGGCCTCCTGCGCAAGCGGAGTCAATATGACACACTTCCCCCCCCTCGTGTCGGATCCGAGGATGGACCACGCGGGGCGCCGTGGGGGGTTTGGGGGCGGGCCGTCTGGCGCCGCCCGTGGAGGGGGGGCGGCTTGGCTCGCGTCGGGCGCCCGTTTTTGTCGGTGCGCAGTGGGCGGGCCGTCGGGCGGGGCGGCCTGGTTCGGGTGTTGCCAAAGGCGCATCTGGTCCAAGGAGGCCCCAGTGTTTCCAGGGAGGCCCACATGGCCTCCAGAGCACCCAGGGAGGCCCACAGTGGCGCGAGAAGCTGGGGGCACCTGGGACCAGGGACGCTTCAGGCGACCGTATGGTGACTTGGCATTGCTCGGACGTGCGTTGTTCTTGGCAAGAACCATCGGGGAGCCTTGGGGGTCATCTTGCGAAAACATGCGCGCAAGGCGCCGAAAAATGTACGAGGGATGGACGTCCGAGCGATGGCGAGATGTGTGTAATCAGTTTTGTCCACTGCGTTCCTCGCCGGGGCTGCGCAAGAGTGAACGTGAGGCGCGCTTTGTAGCCTGGGGCTCTTGCCGGTGGGCTGCGCGCGCTCGCTCGGCCTTGACGGCATCATCGACAGACTCCGCCTTGGGCCTTGGGCGTTGTTTTTTTCCCCCGAACGGTGCGCGACATCCTGGTGAGTGTACGTGCTGCTTGTCCCTCCTTCCTCATCTGTCCTCTGCTCACTTTGGTCTCCAGCAGCCCCGTTCCCAAAGTGGTGTGCTGCTTCCCGTCAAAAGCGCAGCTGCTTTCTCCCCCTCCGTATCCTTGCCATTCCAGCTCCGTGTCCTTGCTGTTTCGACTTTTCCAGAAATAGAGATGGCTCAATTGGGGGCAATCTTGGGGTTGTGCAGGCGTAGTGTTGGAGCCCTCTTGGGTCTTTGCTGGGCCCTAGTAGGACTTCTCTGGATGTGTTTACAGATCTCTAGGGCCACAGGGAGGTCTGGGAGGCTCTAGCGTTCTGATCGCCAAACGGGTCGCCCTCGCACTGCTATCCACATCGTGTGGCGGTACCACGCCAGATCAAATTCCAGACGCTTCGCGTATCCGCATCAGTTTCCCCTGGTGGCTCTTGGAGGGCGCTTACCATTCGGCTTATCTTGTGGCCCTGGAGACGGCCTGCTGGATTGTACGTCGCCTACGCTATGGTGTGCGTCTGTGGTTTCGCCTCCCCCCCGTACTTCAAATCCCCGCTTTTCGGCAAGGTACTTCGTCCTCTTCGTCGCCTGAGCCTGATCCCCTGCGCGCCCGCCTTCTTTTCCGTGTGTTTTTCGTCCCTCGTTCTCCTTTTTCCCAACCATCCTGTGGTGTTGGGTCCTCGTTTTGAAGAGACGGTGCCCGCGTCCTCTCCTCTCCTCCTCTTCCCCCTCCTCCTCCTCCTCCTCTCATCATCAGCATCATAATCATCGTCATCGTCACCGTCATCATCAGCATCATCATCATCATCGTTCTTATCACCATCGTCGTCATCATCATCGCCGTCTCCATCATGGCCACACGTTTCGTGGACCCATAGTGAGCTCCACCGAAGGCCCCAGTGTCAAGGTCCGCATGCGGTTCCACCTCCATTTCGGCGCACCCCTCACACGTTTCGTGGCCCCATAGGGAGCTCCACCGAAGGCCCAAGTGTCAGGGTCCGCATGCGGTTCCACCTCCATTTCGGCGCACCCCTCACACGTTTCGTGGCCCCATAGGGAGCTCCACCGAAGGCCCAAGTGTCAGGGTCCGCATGCGGTTCCACCTCCATTTCGGCGCACCCCTCACACGTTTCGTGGCCCCATAGGGAGCTCCACCGAAGGCCCAAGTGTCAGGGTCCGCATGCGGTTCCACCTCCATTTCGGCGCACCCCTCACACGCTTCGTGGCCCCATAGGGAGCTCCACCGAGGCCCAGTGGCAGGGTCCGCATGCATTTCCACGGCGCACCCCTCACACGTTTCGTGGCCCCATAGGGAGCTCCGCCTAAGGCCTAAGTGGCAGGGTCCGCATGCAGTTCCACTTCCATTTCGGCGCACCCCTCACACGTTTCGTGGCGTCATAGGGAGCCCCGCCTAAGGCCCAAGTGGCACGGTCCGCATGCAGTTCCACCTCCATTTCGGCACACCCCTCACACGTTTCGTGGCCCCATAGAGAGCTCCGCCTAAGGCCCAAGTGGCAGGGTCCGCATGCAGTTCCACCTCCATTTCGGCGCACCCCTCACACGTTTCGCGGCCCCATAGGGAGCTCCACCGAGGGCGCCAATGGCAGGGTCCGCATGCAGTTCCACCTCCATTTCGGCGCACCCCTCACACGTTTCGCGGCCCCACAGGGTGCTCCACCGAAGGCCCCAGTGGCAGGGTCCGCATGCAGTTCCACCTCCATTTGGCGCACCTCTCACACGCTTCGTGGCCCCATCGGGTGTTCCACCAACGACGATACTTACAACGGCGGCATTCGGAATTGCGTATGGTTGGGCCCTTCGCCAGGATAATTCGTTTTTTGCCCGCCGCTTCTTCGCTTGCGCCTTCCTCTGTCTCCGCTTTGTAGATTTCGCCACCCTTTGTGGCCCTTTTTCCGCGTCGCGGCGACAGTAGGGTTTGCGCTACTCTTTCGACTTTATCTGACGGCGCGCGACTGACCGCGTCGCTCGCGAGCAAAACCCCCCGTCAGCCTCCACTCCTTCCTCGACGGCCCGCTCGCCCACGAGGTGTGGTTACGCGGCATCGTTTCTGACATCTGCGGCGGGGGGCCTGCTCTGCGGTCGGCGCGTGCAGACCTGTCGCCGAGGAGAGGTTCGCCGAGGGTGACGCTATGCAATGTGGGCGCCATCGAACCCACCGCCACTTGGGCCTGGGTTTGTCCTCGCCGTCTGAGCGGTGGTCGAGCCTGCCCCGTTGCGTAGCTTGCATTTTTCCGCCGGTCGTTAGCTGCGCGCGTTCGGTCCCGTCTGAGGCCGTTGTAATTTAGGTCTTCGGGACTCGGCATCTTCCTGACGGCGCGCGGCTCTTCCGCTTGCGCTCGCGAAAAAAATATCCCCATCAGCCCACTTTGGCGTGCACTTCCGGCGGCTGCCAGCTGCCGATGGCGCCCCCTCCGTAAGCGCCGCGCGGCCCGCCCTGGCTAGTCTCACTTCCCGTTGTTCTCCTGTTGTCGGTGTTATCCTCTCTTTTTTTCTCTCTTTCTCTCTCTCTCTCTCTCTCTCTCTCTTTCTCCATCCCGCGTGCAATTTAGGCTCCTGCTGGTTAGCTGTAGCTTTGGACGGCGCGCGGCCCTTCCGCTTGCGTTCGCGAACGAACAAATCCCCATCAGACCATCCAGGCGAGTTGGGGTGATCAGGGAAGCGCTGGAGCAACAAAAGGACGGCCGAACCGTGCAAAGGAGGGAGGAGGGGAACGAAAAAACTGGATGGATGGATGAGGGAGTTGGGATACATAGGACGGATAGGATGAGGAGGGGGAGGAGGAGGAGGAGGAGGAGGAGGAGGAGGAGGAGGAGGAGGAGGAGGAGGAGGATGGAGGAGGAGAAGAAGACGAGAGAGGAGGAGGATGAGAAGAGGGAGGAGGAGGAGGAGGAGGAGGAGGAGGAGGAGGAGGAGGAGGAGGAGGACGAGGAGGAGGAGGAGAAGGAGGAAAAAACAAGGAATGGAGGAGGGAGGAGGGGGAGGGGGAGGAGGAGTCATACTATAATGAATAGGATGATGATGAGGATGAGGATGAGGATGAGGATGATGATGATGATGCTGATGATGATGATGATGATGGTGATGCTAATGGCGGTGATGATGATGTTGGTGGTGGTGATGATGATGATGATGGTGATGATGTTGATGATGATGATGATGAAGATGAGGAAGAGGAGGAGGAGGAGGAGGAGGAGGAGGAGGAGGAGGAGGAGGAGGAGGAGGAGGAAGGCGGAAGGAAGAAGGAGGAACAGGAGGAGGGTAAGCCAATGGACCAGAGGTCTCTCGGGTGCCTCTCGGAACCACTTGGGGTATCTGTTGGGCGCATATTGGTGGCCTCTTTGGGACGTCTTGGGGGTCTCTTGGCGGTCCTGGGGGGCTCTTGGGCGTCTTGGGTGCTTCGGGGGGGCCCCTTGGGGCGGCGTGGGGTCTTCTCGGGAGCCTTCTGAGGGTCTCTTCGTGGCCTCTTGGGGCCATGTTGGGGCCACCTTGGGGCCTCGTGGGCCTCCTGGGCGCTTCCTGGGGCCACATTGGAGGACATCGATCAACGAAGAAGGGCGGTTCAATTAGGGTTGCCCCCCCCCCAGGAGGCCAAAATGGGGCCGACACCCAATCAAACCCATGATTTGGGCTTCCTCGCCGAGGCCGTTTTTGACGCCCTGGCCGCTCGCGACCAACCCCGCCCACGTCCAGGGGAGGGGGTGAACCCCTCCCCGAAAGGGAAAAAGGGGGTTGGAAGAGGAAGCGCCCTAGACCATCTTACGCCCCAAAGGGCTGGTGGGATTAGGAGCAGGGCCCCTTGTGGGTCTTTCTCGAGGTAGCACTTCGCCGTACAATCAGATCAGGTGTTCCTTCACCCTGAGGTCGCTCTACCCCGTGGTATTGGTACATGGAGAAGTTCCCATCATACGGTTCTTACGCTTACGATCTTCTACCGCTTGGACTCGCTAGGGCCTCCATGTAACGGGCTGGTCTATTAGCCGCGGTCCCAGTCGGCAGGCACGAGTAGGGCGAAGTTCAAGATATCGTGACGATGGCATTGATTCTTAGGAGGAGAATCGCGATGCTGGTGTCGGCAATTGCGGTTGGGGCCGACCGTGCCATGGTGACGATGACGATGACAATGGTGAGGAATATCAATATTCCGGCGACGCGTACGACATTGACGATGACGTTCATGATTTGGTTCAACACGGAGCGAAGACGGCGATGGAAATGAAACATAAGAATAATACGGTGTCGTTAGCAAAGAGGGAGGTGATAATTGGGGGGAGAGCATGGCCGGGGGCAATCTTATCTCCCCGGATTGCACGGCCCCGTCTTCTCTCGCCAAGACGTCCCTGCCCGAGGCATGACCTTCGGCCGCGCGCCGGGGGGGGGTAAAAGGAGAGGGACGGTTTCTTGGGAGCACCTCTCTGCTTTTTATGTAGATGTAAGGGCCGGGCGCTTTTTCAGAAGCAGCCTCCTCCTAAGCAGCCCCCCCGAACCTTCATCTCGGAGGAGGACGACGACGACAAGGAGAAAAGGGAGGAGGAGCAGGAGGAGGAAGAGGAGGAAGGAGAGGAGGAGGAAGAGGAGTAGGAGGAGGAGGAAGAGGAGGAGGAGGAGGATGGAGGAGGAGAAGAAGACGAGGGAGGAGGAGGATGAGAAGAGGGACGAGGAGGAGGAGGAGGAAGAGGAGGAGGAGGAGGAGGACGAGGAGGAGGAGGAGGAGGAAGAGGAGGAAGAGGAAGACGAGGAGGAGGAGGAGGAGGAGGACGAGGAGGAGGAGGAGGAGAAGAGGAACAGGACGAGGAGGAGGAGGAGGAGAGGAGGAGGACGAGGAGGAGGAGGAGGAGGAGGAGGAGGACCCCCTCCGCCCCCCCCCTGGCGCGTGCCGCCCAGAGCCTTCCTCGTGGACGCCCCCCCCCCCCCGCACGGGGGCGAGGGCGGCCGCCGGTGCCCGCCCGCCCCCCCCCCGAGCGGCGCAGGACTGCGAGCAGGCCAAGGCCCCCCGGCCGCCAAAGCGCGCGCACGCGCACGAGCCGCGGCGCGCCTTGGGGGCGGCGGCCCCCGACAGGAGGCGCCGAGGATCGGAGGAGGGAGGAGGCGCCGAGGATCGCTCCGCGGGGATTTCTTGGATGCGCGCTGGGCCCCTCTCGGCGGCGCCTCCGGTGCCGTCCCTGGCGCGTTCCGCGCGCCAGGGAGGGGGGTCCGACGCAGATCCAAGAAATCCGCGCGGAGCGCCAAAAATTTATGATTATGGCGTTTTGTCTTCTAGAGGAGGTGGAGGTGCCGGCGCTGCTGCCCTTTTCCCTCGTCTGCCCCCTCGTGGACTTGCCTCGGAGGCCCTCGTCGCCACCGCTGGATTCGCCTCGAAGTTCCGGTCAGAACGCGCGCGCAGGCGCCATCGACGGCGCGCTGAGGGAGAGGCCCACCAGGAGGAGGAGAAGGATCGGGGCTCTCGCAACGGGCGTCAGAGCTAAGGGTGGTCAGCCAAGCCTCTCTGGCCGACCCAGGTTCGGGAGCCACGTGGGGCTGGCTCCGCTTCCGCTCCCTCTGCTGACCCTGGTTTGGAGCTACAGCTTTGATGCGCGACGTGGTCCTGGCGCGCCAACCCAGGTCAGTGCGTACCCGAGAGTCTCCCCGAGAGGAGGGGCCAGTATTTCATCAGGTTTGCATGTTATCAGGTTTACCTTTCGTCGGGTCCCTTGGTTCCCGTATCCCCTTCCCCTCGCCTGAAGTCGGTAGTTCCGTGGCGGGCCTCTCTGATTTGTTGTGTTCTATCCCATCTGCACCGCCTGCGCCCGCTGTCGCCAAACGCGCCGCTGCGCGCCCCCATTCGCCATCTGAGATCTGAGTCTCGCTCGCGCCTCAGGTTTCGCGGCAATGGCGCTGTCGATTGTTGGGGCTTCGAGTTGCGTGCTCGATGGACGCACCTTGTCAATTGTAGCGGGGTGAATCGCGTCTTTTCGGCGCAAGGGGGCCGTCGATGAGGCCAACGCGCTTTAGGATTCCGTCGCGGCGCGTGATGTTGTCGCGCCCGCCCGCCGTTGCTGGGCGACGCTCTCCGCCTCGATGCTCCGCGTTCTCACGCGCGCCCCGCCATTGCCGCCCCAGTGTGTCAGCGGCCCCTGCGGTCGCGCGCACTTCTTGCTGCTGCGTGCGCGCTCGCGCTCGTGATGTCGCGGCGAAGCGCGCGCGAAGCTCTTTGCGCGCGACTTTCGCACCAGGGCACACGACTCCGCCCCAGCCCCCAGCGTGCCATTTCACATCTCTCGGGGCCAACGGCGGGCTAGCGGATTCGCGGCGAGCATGGATCGCGCGCGTTCGTGCGAGACGGTTTTCGCGCGAAGTTTGCCGCGTTGTTGGCCCGAGTGCGCGGCGACCTTGCGAAAAGGAGAAATGTGATGAAACTGTTCTGCATGCCGGAGAGAGCTGACAGACGACAGCGACAGCGACAGCAGGGAAGACATGGAACATTTTTCGGCCAGAAAGGAACACAACGCTAAAAACAAAAATCCACAGCGACTGGCCTAACAACGACAAAAACAATAGCTAAACACGCTAAGGAAAACCGTGGCGTTTGTATCGCTTTTAGCTTGCATAGAGGCCAAAGTGCAAAACGGTGTTTACACATACAAAGGCGACCGCTTTTAAGACGAGCCTCGTTGTTGGTGACGCCATGTCTATTTGCTATTATACTTCGGACCGCTCCGGAGACGACGACCGCAGCGAGTCGGACAGTCAGCGACGACCAGAGCTAGAGCAACGTGCACTTCACTGTTGACGCATCGATTGGTGTCCCCAGTGTGGTGTGTGGGAGAAGTGTTCCGTGCACTTCGGCCCACGTGATCCAGCAGTCTGCCCAGGTGCTCGTCGCGGAGTTGAAGTTCAGGAGCGAAAGAACGACGTACCACGCTGCTTTCGCGAGTACGCATGTGCCCGACTGTTCGTATCACGCGGCCAGTCTCGCGGATCGAGGGGCCGTGCTCATCTACATGGCTTGGCGCGTGCGTCTTTTATGGGCTCCCCAGAAGTTTCACGCTCGCGATGTTGTGGCTCGGCGGTGACTGCTCGGGCTGACGGGCCCGACGCCGACCCAAATTGTCGTGCAGGGAGTGCGGCGTGATCATCTCTGCCCCCGGTGCTGGCCGCCGTGGCTCGAGCAGCGGCTCCTTGGGACCGCGAGCACGAGATTCCTCTGAGGGGGGTCGGAGTAGATGGGGTCGGAGGATCGCGCCGCATCGCCGATGCATCGCCGATGCGGTTCGATGCGGAGCCCGACTTTCTCCACACCGACGTCGTCGACGCATCGCCGATGTCGCCGATGCATCGGCGATGTATCGCCGATGCATCGGCGATGCGGCGCGATCCTCTGGGAGGCCCCTATTCTGGGCCTTCTTGGCAGGAGGGCCCGTCGAGGCAGCGGCGGTCATCCCTGGTGTTCTCTTCGTCCCTCTCGGGCTTCCCTCGGGGGCTCGTCGTCGCCACGGCTGGAGCCACGGCCTGTCGAAGCCTTGGGAGGGGCGTGGGGACAGTCAGAAGGGACAACAAAAAAACACAGACACAAGTAACCGTCGATTCCCCAAGACATGGGAACATGTGGGAAGTGGGGGGGGGCGGCGGGGGGGGGGCAAAGACCCAGGAATTCTTGACGCTTCGCGTATCCCCACCAGTTTGACGGCGTTCTCGGACGACGAACTCTCAGACTCGACGGGGTCAGTTTTCCAGAGGGTGCGCACCACACCTAGCCAGGCGACCTTTAACGAAAGGGTGGACAAGCACAAGCCAAACAACGACGCGATCAGAGCCCTTCAGGCCACGGTACGTCACCATGCCGTACTGGTGCACCGACCCCCTGGGACAGGCAAGACCACCTTCTACGTCGCCTGCCTGGACATGTGGGATGCTGCCTACGTTCGGGCCAAGCAGTTGCGCTGGCAGCCGGTTCGAACACTGCGGTCGACCAGCCCGCCCTGGCAATGTCCGAAGCACATCAATGGCGCCGTCTCGATCCCGACACGGGGTTCCCTGGGAAATTCGTGCGCCTGGCCAGAAAGGAACGCGTCAACGATAGCTTGTTGACCTGACCCCAGAGGGCCGCTACAAGAACGCCTACGGTGACTTCCCGTTTCAGGATGGGGGCAAGAGCCCTGACTTCAAGCCCTTCAAGGCCAACTTGCTCCGGGATGCCAGGGTGATCATGTCCACACACGAGGCAGCCGAAGCCCTCGGACAGAAGGATGTTTCACGCCCTGAATGTTTCACAGGATGTTTCACGCCCTCCGCGGCCAGGACACGGCGGTGGTCCACCTGTCGATTTGCTACCGCATGCATCCGCAGCTGCTCGCCTTCCCGAACGCAGCCTACTATGGCTATGACGAGCGGCATCATGGACCCGCTCAGAGACATACCCTTAGTTGACGGCATCCCATGGAAAGACATCTTACCCTGGGCGCCTGGCGGAACTCGCCAAGCTCACCAGTTCCAACGAGGCCGACCTCAGCGCGACCCTCAGGCAGTTGGAACCTCCGCAAGACGGCGACAAGCACCGCTTCCTGCTAGTCGACACACCCTCGTGGGAGGTTTCGTCCGGCCTCCAGTCAGGCTGCGCTAACCTCCCCGAGGCAGCGCAGGCTGTGGACATTGTGCGGGCATTCCTCCCTGAGCTTGAAAGAGGCACCACCGTCCGAATCGTCGTTGGCTACCAGCTCCAGACGGCCATCCTCAAGGATGGCTGGCCACAAGGTCCGCGCCACCTCAGCGGTGCCCTTCGGAACTCGAAGAGTGGCAAGAAAGGGAAGTCCGGCAAGGGAAAAAGGCAGTGGCGGCCGTGGCGGGCAAGACATCCCCGCCCCTGGAGCAGACTCCCAAGAGCAAGAGGTCGACGCTCACCGCTGGGAAACCGTCTTTCGGGAGGATCGTAACGACTACACAGCCATCGGCGCAGCCTTCCCTGGTCCCAGGCAGATTGCAGGCAAGTACCTGAAGAATGTGGCCCTCAAGCTCACTACCATCGACTCCAGCCAGGGCGGGGAGGCAGACGTCGTGATTGTGCTGACCACCAGGAGCAATGGGATGCACAAGTGGGGCGTTGTCGATGACGCCAAGCGGTTGAATGTGGCGATCACGAGGGCCAAGCGGAACATCATGATGTTGGGAGACGGGCGTATGTTCGCCAACGCCGCGTGGTCCCAGCTACGTGTGCTTTCCGAATATGGGCGCTTGACCCGCCTTTGGGTCCGTTTCGGTGGCGCTGGACCTGCTGGCCACAGGCGATCCCTGGTCATAGACGAGAGCTTTGACCCATTGCCCGACCTCGCCACCTGGGCACCCCCCCCGTTGCCTGGAGTTGTGACGCGAAGGGAGAGGACGGGCGCAGTGAGCTCGATGCGGCCAAGAGAAAAGCCGGTGACGCTCAGGCGAACAGCTTCGCCGATCGCTACAACGCCCCACTGGCAGATGACTTCGACTGGGACTCCCTGGGCAAGTTCATCTCTGTCGGCTTGAACGAGATCCTCTCGACGCCTGCCTTCCATGTGCTCATCTTCCTGGTGGCGGGGCTCCACCCGCATGAGTTCTCGCTGTCTGAGACACCGCGGCAGCCCGGCAGACTCGACCGGAAGGCATGGTCGCACCTGGGCTTCCTGTTCGACATGTCCCTGGGTCCAGACGCGACCAATCTGGTCTACAACATGCTCTGGGCAGCCATAGCGCGGTCACTCGGCCTTGGCACTCCCTGGGAGGACGCAGACCACGCAGCGCGCAACGACTCCCCCCCCCCGGTGCCGCGCGTCGAGGGCAGACGTGCGACGCTCTGCGGTCGGCGCCAGCGCACTCCCAAGGGACTGTTCCGGCAGGTTCCTCAGGCGTGGAGTGCAACAACCAGGGGCTGCTGCAGACACAGGAAGCACCCTGGGATGGATGGCCTGCAGGATATCGTGCGCATCGCCTCCGTCGATCCAACCTGGGCCAAACTCCGGGGGGAGATCAAGGACTCAGATGG